CTTCTTCATGGTAAGGGTGGCCAAAATTTGGAATGGGCTTCCAAGGGGGGTGATGCTGTCCCCTACCTTGGGGGTCTTTAAGAGAAGGCTGGATAGGCATCTGGCTGGGGTCATCTGATCCCAGCACTCTTTGCTGCCCAGGCAGGGGGTTGGACTCGATGATATGTTGAAGTCCCTCCGGACCCTAGCATCTATGAATCATCTGTGAATTCACAGTTACTGTATATATTCAATTCTAAGGTGAGGGTTTTTTGCCCTATTTAACTTGGGGAAACAAGCTCCTCATCTTAGAGCAGAAGCAGGCAGAGTCCAGCCCATGAGCCAGATCCAGCAGGCAGTAGACTCCATTTCCCAGCAGCCGCTGCCTGCATGGCTGGAGCCAGTCTCCTTGGAGACCCCAACTGTTGCACTGTAATAGCACAAGCCTGGGGTTGCCATGGAGATTGTTCCCAGCTACGCTGATAGGGGGCACAAGCCTGGGGTTGCCATGGAGATTGGCCCCAGCTACGCTGACGGGGCAGGGCAGGGCAGGGGGCTTCTCCAGAGCTGCTGGGATCTTGCAGCGGAGGCAGCTTGGTTGCCTGCAGACTCCTGGCAGGGGCATGCAGACAGGAGATCACCGCTTTGCCCTGGCTCCTTGAGTGGTGACAGCCTGGTCCTGAACAGGTACAGAGCCATGATCCGCTGCCTGGGCACCCCTGCCCAAAGCGTGCAGGTGGCCACTCGCAGCTGTGCCCTGACCCTGAGCCAAGCTGCCCCTGCTGCAAGATCCCAATGGCTCCGGAGAAGCTCCCTGTCCTGCCAGCACAGCTGGAGCTGGTCTCCATGGCAACCCCAGCCTTGCACTATCACAGCCATGTGGGCAGGGGCTTCTGGGAAATGGAGTCCAGTTGCCAGCTGGATTCGCCATTTTGCCCACCCCTGTCTTAAGAGTTATGTGCAATGTTTGTGGGGGGGGAGCTGCTATGGCTCAGACTCCAGCCCCTATCTGGGGTTATGGGAGGACTGGGGGAGCAGAGGCTAGGACAGAGGCGGGCAATTATTTTGGGCAGAGGGCCACTTACTGAGTTTTGGCAAGCCATCGAGGCCTGCATGACAGTGAGGGGCAGATAAATATTTTCTAAATTTTTTAGGGGGTCCATGGGCCAGGTAGAATGGCCTGGCGGGCCGCATTCGGCCCACCCTGGGCTAGGAGGGAAGTGGGGAGCCGAGCGGGGGGGGCAGGTGCTGGAATGAAGCAAGGAGCAGAGGCTGGGGGGAGCAGGGAGCAGAGACTGTGAGGAAGGGGGCAAGGAGGAAGGCTGCTTGACCTCCCCACACCACCTGCCTCCCTACTGCCAGCCCCACTGCAGAGGTGGGAGGGATAAATTAAAAATGATCCCTGAATGACTAGATTCAATACATGGAAAATGAAAACAAATGTATCAATTTTCCATGTATAGAATCTAGTTATTGGGCAGTCATCTTAAATTCGGGTCATCTTGAGTAAGCATGCTAAACTAAAGCTGGGATCTATAGTGGCCATTGGCTGCTATGAGTTACCACACTATGGGGAAATTAGATTACAATGAACTGGCTCTTGCTACTGGTATGAGTTAGGTCATGGGTGGACAAAATGTGGCCCGGATGCTGAATGCAGCCTGCCAGGCCATTCTATCCGGCCCGTGGGGCCGCTAAAAAATTTAGAAAATTAATATTAACGTGCCCTGAGCTGCCTGTCATGTGGCCCTTGATGGCTTACCAAAACTCAATAAGTGGCCCTGTGCCCAAAATAATTGCCTGTCCCTGAGTTAGGTGCTTCTGTGCTAGGTACTTTGGGAGAAAATCCTAATGTGCAGCCCTAAGTCATGAGCCAGAAGATGCAGCCCTGTGCTTGGCTTTTCCTATTGGCTTACTGCTGGTGCCTCACTGCCAAGCACCTAGGCACTCTGGATCACCAGCTCTCTCCATTGCGTACAGGGGCTCCTACATGCTTAACCTGTCAGTTTTCATTCTTCTGGAATAATGCACTTTAATTTTAAGAGCTGAGGCAGCTAAGTGTGGATGCATATAAGGAGAGTTTGGATCTAGCCCAAGTGCCTTATGAGGGGATTTTGAGGAGAGTTTGAAAGTGTAATATCCTGTATTTCAAAATCTACTGCTATGCTTACATGCAGGCAAGTAATGATCTTTTTTGCTGTGTCACAACACATGCCATGCATCAAAGACTTTTTCTTTGCTACAGAAAAAGATGTGCAGTTAGCATATGTTAGCTAATGTATAAAGACATCAGTTTCCCACTGTGGACATAGACAAGATCTCAGAAGTGAAGTGCAGCCAAAACTTAAGAGTTTCTCAAATAATGGGATCCGGCATTTTGAAACGTATGGCTCTCGAGTTCAACACCTGGAGTTTGAAAATGTTTATGTATGTAAGAGCAACCATTCAAATACATGGCAAAACAGGCCTACAACAATGAGCCAAATGAGAGACATTCTTAGAGATCTGTGTAATTATGAATATTTCATGACTCAAAGGAATTATCATCTGTATACCCCTTTATCTTTAAGTTGCTCATTGGCTAGTTACTAAAAATATTAGGTTCAGTTAAATGTACTAAAGATGCAGAAAACTATACAAAACATCTGTGGGCTTCATCGACCCTCTGAAGCCAAGAATCGAATCAGGCTTATTCATAAACCCATAGAAACGTGCTAGCTGCTGCTCTGCAAGGTCAGTAAGTGTTTTCCCATTGACTTCTGTGGGAGTAGCAATATGCTGCTAATACTACTGAAACGTTGTGCTTTGTGGTTAATGAGCAAAAAGAATGACACTACTTTGTTTGCAGGAGTTGGTGGCTCGATACGTTGCTTTGATTCCTGTCTTGCCAGATAGCGTATCATTTGCTGGAATCTGTGACTTATGGAGCACATCAGATGTAAGTAAAGGGTAGAAGTTTTTGTTCCTCTTTATTCTGAGGCTTAGTTTTCTTTGTAATTGACATTGATCCTTTCAGTATTGTCAGTTGCTTCAAAGAACGAAAAATGTCTTTGTCATTACTGAACCATAGGTCAAGGTTTAAAAAAAAAAATCACCCTGAACTAATTTGTACAAGTTCACCAAATGGTTCTGGTCCAGTAGACTACAACATATTGGACCTGTGATCACCATAAGATGTTCCTCATTTTCCACTACAAAAAAATTAAGATGCTCAGTAAAGGAAAGAAAATAAGAGAGAAAATAAAATTTAGATAACATCTACTGTGTTCTCCATATAACTGCACTGAGTCAACATAGTTTCCTCATGAACATGGAGGATATGGCTTGCATGTCAGCTGCACTGTCAGACTTAACCAGGCTCTGATGCTTTGTCAGGAGGTAAAATGATAGCAGTAGGGAAAAAAAAATTCTATGTATGAGACTTAAAAACAATGTTACTTAATCCACTCTGAGTAAAACAATGTACTAGAAACAAATTAAGTGAACCTGACACTTATGATGTCAAGTTGTAATGACTGCCTTCCTTCCCATTCTGTCCTAATATTAGCAGTAAACATTCTTCTGTTTCCCACAAATTAAAGATTAATTCCTTGTGCTGTTTTAAATGAAATTGTTAATGTTTAAAAAGTTAAGTAAAATCCTTGTATTTTGCTAAACCCTACAATGTGAACAGTATAAAGATGTTTTGTAAATCTGAAATATGAAATATTTGAAAACCTGATTGGTATTAAAGTTTATTTTAATCTTTAATTACAGTTCACAGTTTATTTATAGTGAGAAATGCTTTTACCACTTGAAATAAATAGCATGAAAAGTGTTGGAGAAAATTTAGCTCTGCCCCAACTGAAAAAGGTTTGTTTATTCTAATCCATTTATAAGCTTATGGGCAAGGAATTATCAAGGAAACATGTTCTTTTTGTATGATTTGCCTGAGTGCTGCCTTTGTATATGGATGTAACTATTAAATTTACACAGGCCACTTCCTACTAGCTGTACAACTGGAGCAGTGCAAGCCTTAAAGCCAGGTTAATTTACACTCAAATATCACCTTTTCAGACTATAATATAGGATAAACGGTTTTAGACAAAAGCTCCCCCCCCCCCCTTTTTTTTTAAACCAAAGCCTTATCTCCATTGGACATTCGTCATCAAAAACGCATGTAAATAGGGGGCTGGAAGGTAGTGGAATTACCAGTACATCATGTACTAGCCAGAGTAGCCCAGAAGATTTTGTCAGAAATCTGTACTGCAAACTCAGAAGGTAGAATTTGACTTTTGTGGTTAAAATTTCCTATCTAAATGGATCTGCCCCAGCTCCCTGCAGCAGTGATAGTGTGGTCCCAAGCCAGGGCAGAGCCGTGATCTGCTGCCTGGACCATGCAGGCAGCAGATCACAACTCTGCCCTGGCCCTGGACCAAGCTGCCCCCACCACAAGATCCCAGTGGCTCTGGAGCAGCCCCCTGCCGTGTGCCCTGCCAGTGCGGCTGGGGCTGGTCTCTGTGGCCACCCCAGCTTTGCACTACCACAGGGCAGTGGCTGGGCCCTCTATGGAGACCAGCCCCAGCCAGGAGCTGCTGGGAAATGGAGTCCAGCTGCCAGCCAGATCTACCACTTTTCCCACCCCTGAATTACTGCATAATATGCAGTAAGGACCTGATAGTTGCAGGTTACTTGCACAATATTAGGAAGGACTCTTAAATGACTTTGGTTGGGAGCTGCACCGATACTTATTTATAAATGTAACTTTTGTTTCTCAATCAGCAATTCCTTGATCTTTTGGCTGGTGATGAGGAAGAACATGCTGTGCTCTTGTGCAATTATTTTCTTGGTATAGGCAAAAAAGCCTGGCTTATAATTGGAAATGCTATCCCTGAGGTAAGAGATTAATTTTTCATCTGATTTGAACATGTCTATCATCTCCAAATGCCTATGAAAATGTAGCATGCACCAGCAAAAATGATGAAGTTCCAAGCAATGAGTAAGGTTTTCTCTTGAAGGCATGATTTTTAAAGTAGTGATCACAGGACTCTAAAAACTGGAGCCATTATCTGGTAACTGAAAGAAAAATAAGGTAGAAGGTTATTTGTGTGTGGAAAAAATAGACACGGTGCATTTAAAGTTAGAGCGGTGGTAAGTGTAATCCTGCTTCACCGCTGTCTGGCATATGTAAACCCTCCTCTAACATATATTTTGTACAAGTGTAAATGACTGCCAAGAAAAAGGCAGTGGGCAGTGTAACACATTTAAATTCCTTCACCAGTAGGGAGCAATTTGTCCCCATAGAATTTGGCAGATTCCTGAATGACTGCTACCACCAAATTTTCTGAAAGGCTTCAACATCCATGGCCGTACTTTCCTCTGTAGCTGTAGCAGAATGCCCTCAAGTTTGACTGTTGCAAAACAGTTGTGTCCTCAGCATTCTTGAGCAGTTACACAACTGGGTTTTGTGAAATCTGGCCATATTGTTCCCTCCTTTAATAGCACTGGGATCAGATGCTCAAAATTCAGTTAATCTGGTCAAAACCTGATGGAGATTGAGCCCCATGACACCAGAAGGAAGTTTTATTTCACAAACTTCCAGATACCCAAAAGTCCAGATAAGGTGCTTGGGTTTGGGGAAAGGTAGAAGAGCATCTAAAGCGGTTGACTGTATATGTTGGGGTTTGGAAGAGAGAAATGGGTGCTGGAACAGAAGTGGGTTGTCTAGGGTGGCTGTCTAGGCATGTGTGCCTGGGGACGCAGGTTTTTGTTCAGAGGCATACCTGGTGTCAGTGAGGCCAGCACAGTCCAGCCACCTTGCTCCATTGATGTTACCATCTACATCCTTGCTGGCTGGCTGTTTGTTTGGTTCCAACAGGACAAGTAGGAAAGGGCAGGCAGCCTTAGAGCTAAAAAGGTGTTGCACACAAGTCTCTGTATCTCACCTTGGACACGTGCAGTTCCAGAAAGGCTGCAAGGAAGGATACGCCTACCAGATGTTTGTCAGACAGTGGACTGTTGTCCTGCTAAGTAATTTTTCCTGGGGACTGTTGGTGCATATTATGCAGGTATTCATTCTAGTTTGGATGCTTCTAAGGCTTTTATAGTTAACCAGATTCCTGTAGTGCTTTGTTAATCATGCCTGGTGGGCCAGTTGAACCTTATAAGCTTTTGCTTAGTCACCTGTCATGAGAATTGTCTAGTAAGGGCGTTCTGCTTCTTTGTTGAATCATAAGAATGGTAAATTTAGCAATCTTTATTCTTCCCATTTTAAGAATACCAGACAGCTGCCAGTAAAGGGGATTTGTAATCCTGTTGTTGCAGTATTTTAGATGCTTCTGTTTTTGAGTTAAATACATGTGAATGAGATAATTTTGTAGGACTGTGTTGCAAATGAGTTAGCTGTAGAAAAGATTGTGTGCAGTTATTTGCTGAGCTTGCTTCATAAGAATGTTACAGCTTGTAAGAAATGCAGACTAGCTGTTTTACTGATTATGGTTTATTATAGTCCTGATCAATAACTATTTGAGCCATGGTAGATTGGTTTTCTTAACTTGTATTCATAAATCAACTAATAATCAGGAAAACCTCCTTTTGCATGCAGGGTTTTCAAAAAAAAAATTATTATACAAATACACATATTGATTCTTACCTACAGTTAGCTCTGTAAAATAGATCATTAGCAAGACTTCACAGTGTTAACATGAATGCCAGCATTGCTCTGGTAGTTTACTATAGCCAAGTACTTAAGCTTCCCTAACAGTTTAGTTTTATAATTCAGTATATACAGAAAACTTAGTTTGAGCCTCATTGTATATTATAGCAGACTCTTTCAAACCTGGTCTACATTGTGGTGGCCAAAAATCATTCCTCAGTGAAAGTGGTCTCACCATTTTCTAAAGAAACCAGTAAGACTCTTGCTGATAGCCTGGGAAAGAAGGCCAGGGACTCAAGCAAATATGGAGATTAGACTCTCAACCCTAGTATCTGTGACAGGCATGCTGGCTGGGCAGTGTGGAAACATATGTACTTTTATTCTATGGGTAAATGGAAAATTACAATCTCCTTGTGGTTTCAATCTGACTACATTTGAGAATGACGAAGTGTTTCATCCGTGCTGATGCCACATACTACCTACGTGGTTCTAATGTAATCCAGAAGAAAGCAACACACAGCTTTAAACTTGAGATGCATAATTACTTGAATGCCAGTTAAGATGGTAGAATTGTAATGAGTTTATTTGAAGCCAATTATATTCAACCAGTTGGAGAAAAAAAAAGTGTTGTGACTTCAGTAACAAAAAAATCATGTGGTACTGCATAAAATGCAATATCTGTTATCCTTGCAAACCAGCTTTTAAAAGGTTTATCTTTTTCCCTCATAGGGACCAACCACATATGTACTTACTTGGGAACAAAATCAGTATGTGATATGGAATCCTAGTACTGGACGTTTTTATGGACAATTTGATACTTTCTGTCCACTTCAAAATGTGGGCTGCTTGATTAGCTCTGATAATGTAAGTATTTTCCATATTTTCTTAAATATGGGGCTTTTTTGTCATCCCTTTGTTTGCCTTATGGTGGATCAGTGCTAACATGCTTTATATTAAATAGGGAAATAGATCATCAAACAATGGCTCTGCCATTTTAATTAGGATCTGGCTAATTTAATAGTTAAACGTTGCCCTTACCTAGTGCTAGACAGACTTTTACCAGAGTTTTAAAAAAGTGTTGGAACTAGAGCACCACGACCAGGTAGTGTAAAAGGTGTGGCGCTCTCAATTTCACCAGACCTTGGCCCATTTGCATCAGCTAAGGATTTGACCCAACATTTTTTTTTGAGAGTAACTAAACCAGGATTTATAAATAAAGGCAGCAGTCTACACTGTGTGTCGTATAACCTTTGTGGATTCAGTTTTTCCAAATTATGCATGAAAGCTAAATAACACTGTGGTCCAATATTGGTCTTTCTGAGCATTATTTCTAGTGATAGTCATACTGTGCGTCTCCAACTACAGGTGATTCTTCAATAGGTCACCTGCACCTTTTTTTAAAAAAAGGTCATCAATGTTTTAAATACATGTCACTGGGTGTGTTTTGAAGCAAGTATATACACATACATTTTATAAAACCTAAAGAGGCTTACCACCCTTTGTTGGACTGTGGAAACGTTAGCTAATGTACTGTCATTTGAACCAGAACATATTTGCTATAGTTCCCTAGGTTTATATGGCTGTGTGTATACTGAAGCCAGTTATAGTTGCTTTAAATTATCAAGGCTTGTTTTTAATACACATGTCTGATTTAAGAAAATGTTCCATGCTGTAGCTTAAGTAACAGCTGTTGTGACTGAACAACTTCCCTTCTCTGTCACTGGCAACTAAGACATTCATGAGAATATTAAAAAAATTTTTCTTTGGGTCGATCTTCATTGCAGAACATGTTGGGGAAAATAGCTAATGCTGGATTTTCAGGTTAAGAAGGTGCCCAAAATAGAGGTGTCAGAAGAGGAGACACTGAAGCAAATTGAAAAAATGTAAAGCAACAAGTTACCATAGGTACAGCTTACAGTTCTTAGGAAATTTAACTTCTGAGTCACTAACAGAAAGATGCATGTTAAAATGATGTGCTAGGGTACTGGACAGCTGTAGGTGAGGTACCCATCTTAAAAAGATATAGGTTATTCTGAGAATTGCAGACACTTTAATTCAGTATGAGGTAAACTGTTTTGAAGTCATAACTAAAAAGATAAAGCATCAGGAAAAGTGCAAATATGATAGGCACAAACTAGCATGGCCCTGTAAAGCAAAATTGTGCTTCATACTCCACAAGAGTATTTTTAGACACATTAATGAATTAATGGTTAAAGGAAAACAGGTTGACATGATTTTGTTATTTGCTTTGAAGGATTTTGTTATATTTGCTTGACATATATACATTATACATATATAATGTATACATATATACATTATGTCCTTGATGCTCAACTAGCTTTGAGCATCAAGGACAACAAAAAGTCCTTTTTCAGATATGTGGGGAGCCGGAGAAAAAGCAAGGGTAGCACTGGACCCCTGCTGAACCAGATGGAGCAACTGACAACTGACGCCCAGGAAAAAGCCAACCTATTAAATGGGTACTTTG